TGATATATAGGGCAACACCAGGGTACAAACTTTAGTACTAAACCTTATTCAATAAATTTAAATTTTGTTTAATACATTCATCCTAATAGCTTTTAAGTTGCCATTCCAAACAATATTACCACGCATTCTAGTGACTACAGATACCATGACTGATTAACATTACGACCCAAGACGTGGCATGTCCACTAGTAGCCCGTAAATTACCGACATGCCAACACTTAATTACTTACAAAATTGACTGTCTGGGAAAACAATGTGATCCTAGACACGCAGATTTCTACGTTTACTAATTACGGCCCCACTGAATACATTAACTTTACTGAAAGCTTTAAAATAAATTTTTCGCACTACTGAAGAAACCACATGAACTAGGAAAATCGCCCAAGTAGTGGGGGTTGGGGGGGGGAAGGGCCGAGATTTAATACAATACCAAAGTATAATTTAAAATTTCTATTTTTACCACAAACTATTAGAACTACTGTACCTGAAAATTTGTTTACCCGCTGCAATGGACACTACAGATATCAAGACTGAAGAAATTCAAACTTGCATAACTTACCAAATACCCGGTTTTAACCAAAGTAATTCAGATGAAATTGATTCCGTGAATTACATTACAGAAATCCACACCCACCTGTTAAAAAAAAAAATTGGGTTTAATACCATTAAGTTTTAAAAGCATAAAGAGTCATCGAAACAGCCTAGTTCTGCGAGCCTGGAGGGGGGTGGGGGGCTGTGAAAGCACCCTCAGACCATTAAGCCACAGTAGACACCCATAAACTGCCACCAACTACTACCAACGCTACGCCACAGGAATAAGCTGTACATTTAGTGCCTTACAGTACCTACTAGCCATTTAAAAAATTTAAATATTACGACAGCTGGCTCTAAAGTTTTGAGCTACAAATCCCAAAATTCTGTAATTTTTATCCTTTACACCCTCATCCTTTACTCATTACTCTATTGCATTTTAAACGGGCCACGTACTTAAATACCTTACGTACTGCCCAGATATTTAGACTTTTTGCCCGCTCTAATGCAGATTTAACAAAAAATTGTGGACCAGCCACTTAATGCTGTACGGCTAAATCTTACACGAAGCTAATTATTAATACTATTGTTAGGATACATCAACTAGGTTTCCATGTAAATAACTTTACCAATTCTATCATACGCCACCCAAATATCACCGTTCCTCTGAAGGCATCACAGATAACAGAGCCCACATTACGCTACGCCAACAACCAGGTCACACCATAATTAAATATCGACACCTTATATGAGTTAATACATTGAGCAATAAAGTCCACTGTAACCTTACCTGATGACCGGTGTAGCTGCAAATGATGTAAGAAGCGGGACACCGCCTAAGGAACTACGTCTACTGGCTGTCAGCCCGACACTGAGGCGGCGCCGGCCGCTCCTGACCTTGCCCAACGTCATTGGTGACGTCACAGTGCTTAACGACCATATCCTCGTGCTGTGCTAGTTAATGTATATGTTTATCTCTCAGAATGTTCGGTAATACGTTTATTGCTTGTGATGTGTGTCTATGTATGTATTAACACGATGTACTGAACGGGGTGAGAATAGCTTGAGCTACCTCATCCCTTTGTGTGTATTTTACCTCAATAAACTTATTTCAATTTCTCGTGCTGTGCTAGTTTGCGCTCCAATGTTTTACATTCCGTTAGTTACTTTTAATCAGTAATATTATAATTTAATATAATAAGTAATAAGTAATATATTGATTTACTTTAATTAGTATATTATAAATCAAAACAAGGGATAAAAGCTTTCGAGATTCATAAATAATGGATTCAGGAACTCGTCCCGTGGTCTACATACAGCCTATAGTAATTTTCGCCATTTTAATACTATATTAGCAATGTCAGACTGATTATTTTCAATAGTAACACAAGAAAAGATGCCAGTATTTTTGATTGGCACTGTGTGTTAAGATTTCCTTAGAGAAGAATATTCCTTAACAATTTAGAGAGACTTGCAGTTTTAATTCTTTTAAAATGATATGCTGAAATTTGGTTTAAAAACTAAATAAAGTCTTAAGTGCTCTTCGTCAGTCCTAATCAAGGCTAATATACTTTGAATACAGTAACAATGCAAGCCATAATTTCAACAATGTCAGAGGCTGTCATAAGGTGCAGATGTTTACTGGGAAAAACTGTAAAACAGATAATACATAAAAACATGTATATACATTATGTCCAAACCTATGTACAGTGTTTTATAATCATAAATATCTTGAAATTTACGTTATTTTGGTCATTTGTAATATTCTCTTATTCTGCCTTTCACAAATTAGTGTGATAAATTTTAAATCATAATCTACAATATATATTTGTTATTGACCTATAAATCTTTGCTAACAATTTATAAAGGAATCTGGAAAACACCTTATAATTACTGATGGACTACCCGTTGTGCTGTGAATCTCGCAGACATTACCTTTCCACTGCTCTCCTCAGCCGATGTTGTCGCTTTGTGTTAGATCACTCGCCCCCTCTTTGCACTCCCAGTTGACACTCTAAAATCTTTGGCTCTTACATCCTTAAAGGTGAAGTCTAGACTCCAACCCTAAAGGCACCTTGCCCTCAAGCTCTACCCCTTCCTAGTCCCACAATCGTCGTCGCCCCTAAATTAACAAATGCATCCTTTCCTGGGTCTACAACCAATTGACTGAATTGACAATTGACAGCCACAGGGGGGTGTCCACGGCCACAGGGGGGTGTCCACGGCCACAGGGGAGTGTCCACGGCCACAGTGGAGTGTCCACGGCCATAGGGGGGTGTCCACGGCCACAGTGGAGTGTCCACGGCCATAGGGGGGGTGTCCACGGCCACAGGGGGGTGTCCACAGCAACAGCGGGGTGTCCACGGCCAGAGGGGGTGTCCACGGCCACAGTGGAGTGTCCACGGCCAAAGAGGGGTGTCCACGGCCACAGTGGAGTGTCTACGGCCACAGTGGAGTGTCCACGGCCACAGTGGAGTGTCCACGGCCATAGGGGGGGTGTCCACGGCCAAAGAGGGGGTGTCCACGGCCATAGGGGGGTGTCCACGGCCACAGTGGAGTGTCCACGGCCATAGGGGGGGGGTGTCCACAGCAACAGCGGGGTGTCCACAGCAACAGCGGGGTGTCCACGGCCAGAGGGGGTGTCCACGGCCACAGTGGAGTGTCCACGGCCAAAGAGGGGTGTCCACGGCCACAGTGGAGTGTCCACGGCCAGAGGGGGGGGTGTCCACGGCCACAGGGGGGTGTCCACGGCCACAGGGGGGTGTCCACGGCCACAGGGGGGTGTCCACAGCAACAGCGGGGTGTCCACGGCCAAAGAGGGGGTGTCCACGGCCACAGGGGGGTGTCCACGGCCACAGTGGAGTGTCCACGGCCACAGGGGGGTGTCCACGGCCACAGTGGAGTGTCCACGGCCACAGGGGGGTGTCCACGGCCACAGTGGAGTGTCCACGGCCACAGGGGAGTGTCCACGGCCACAGGGGAGTGTCTACGGCCACAGTGGAGTGTCCACGGCCACAGTGGAGTGTCCACGGCCACAGTGGAGTGTCCACGGCCATAGGGGGGGTGTCCACGGCCACAGGGGGGTGTCCACAGCAACAGCGGGGTGTCCACGGCCACAGTGGAGTGTCCACGGCCAAAGAGGGGGTGTCCACGGCCATAGGGGGGTGTCCACGGCCACAGGGGTGTGTCCACGGCCATAGGGGGGTGTCCACGGCCACAGGGGAGTGTCCACGGCCACAGTGGAGTGTCCACGGCCACAGTGGAGTGTCCACGGCCACAGTGGAGTGTCCACGGCCATAGGGGGGGTGTCCACGGCCACAGGGGGGTGTCCACGACCATAGGGGGGTGTCCACAGCCACAGGGGTGTGTCCACGGCCACAGGGGGGTGTCCACGGCCACAGGGGGGTGTCCACGGCCACAGGGAGATGTCCACGGCCACAGGGAGATGTCCACGGCCACAGGGGGGTGTCCACGGCCACAGGGGAGTGTCTACGGCCACAGACGAGTGTCCACGGCCAAAGAGGGCGTGTCCACGGCCACAAGGGATTGTCCACGGCCACAGACGAGTGTCCACGGCCACAGACGAGTGTCCACGGCCACAGGGGGGTGTCCACGGCCACAGGGGGGTGTCCACGGCCACAAGGGATTGTCCATGGCCACATACGAGTGTCCACGGCCACAGGGGAGTGTCCACGGCCACAGGGGTGTCCACGGCCACAGGGGAGTGTCCACGGCCACAGGGGAGTCTCCACGGCCACAGGGGGGTGGCCATAGCCATAGAAGAGTGTCTACGGCTTCAAGGGAGTGTCCACGGCCACAGGGGTGTCCACGGCCAAAGAGGGGGTGTCCACAGCAACAGGGGGTGTCCACGGCCAAAGAGGGGGTGTCCACGGCCACAGTGGAGTGTCCACGGCCAAAGAGGGGGTGTCCACGGCCATAGGGGGGTGTCCACGGCCACAGGGGGGGTGTCCATGACCATAGAGGAGTGTCCATGGCCATAGAGGAGTGTCCACGGCCACAGGGGAGTGTCCACGGCCAAAGAGGGGGTGTCCACAGCAATAGGGGGTGTCCACGGCCAAAGACGGGGTGTCCACGGCCAAAGAGGGTGTGTCCACGGCCAAAAAATGTTTGTTCTAGTTCTTCTATTTAGGTCCTTCATACAGTCTTCAGATGTAAGTGGTTCTCCTTCCATTAAATGCCTTTGTTTTAGTTTGGCTTACCCCACAGATGTGAAACTGAGCCCTTTGTACCGTACAGTATACACTTATTAATTCATAAACAGCAAATCATTACAGTGTAGTGTTCTTACGACATATAGATATTTGCATGCTCCAAATCTCAACTGTATAACTAAAATTAGAATGAACCTTATTTGATTAAGAAAAGTTTGCTTTGGATGAAACTTTAAGGATGGCCAAATTTTTTTTTTTTTTAATCAGAACAATTTAGGGCTAAAGAAAACTAATATATATTATACAGCATAATTTTATCCATTCCAGTGCCTGGATTTTTGTACATTCAGTCCTATATCTGCCTATTTACCTACACACTAATATCATCACAAGGGCAAATGTATTCCTAAGAATACATTACACACACAAACAAAACTAAATCATTAGTTGAGAAACACAACAATAACCTCTATACTAAAGGTACAAAATTTCAACATCAAATATAAGGGAGTAAAAAATTAAAACATAGATGTTTCAAAATACAGCTGTTTCAATTACAATATTAATGAACCTGTACAAGGGTGTATATACACAAGTTTTATATATTATTTAAATTATGTAGTTTGTGGGATGGTTTGTTAATATACAAAATGCTGGATAAAACATACACCTTAGGCTCTAATCAAAGCCTTTACCCTGCATATGGAACTAAAAAATATAAAAACAGGATGATGGGTTCTAAGAATAGCATTTACAATTCCTAACCGTTAGTTACAGCTTTTTGTCAATGATTTCTAAAGAAACACAATGAGTCAAGGATGTGAGGTGAGCGATGAAGCAGAAATCTGGCCAATCTCACTGGTGGGATAATTACACACGTCTGCGGCAGTGACACTTTTAATCTTTCTTTCATAAAATCAGTTCATTTTACAAGAAAAAAAAACACAAGCCATTTGATGGACATTTTTTGTATATATATAACCATGATAAGTCAGCATTTACTCTACACCATGTGCTTCTGGTTCCCACCATTTCACTTCTAATTCTGTTCAATTATTGATGTGCTTCATGTTACCAATTCTGTTCAAATGTTTCAGTCTCACGTCACTTCCCATTCTGTTAAAACAATTTTTCTTTGATTTTCTGGTCAATAACAACAGCCAATAACACACTTGCCATCAACTTTTACACAGCAACATTGTTTTAAATTTCAGTCAACTTGCATTAAATTTATATTAAAAGCCTTTTAACACTTCTTATTTGCAAATATTTCTTATATCCAATAAAATGAACATATGTAGCTCACTAATAAAGTGTTTTTAATGAGTCATTTAAAAAATGTTGACATATGTATGATGAAATTTGGTAAACTTTTTGAACAAAATATTTTTCAGATTCCATTTATATTATTTTGAAATGTAGCACTGCTCTTAACGTGTCACTCGCAAAAACTGGCTTAAATCACCTAAGCACAGTCACCATTTTGGATCAAAGAACAGTCTTCCATGTAACGGTACAGTATCTGTCTTTACTTTCCACCTTACAGCCACATTTATACACAGTTCACTGTCCTCAATATATGTGGCTCAAGTTGTACATTGTTCACTGTAACAATAAGATTGATTTCACTTTTACAATATATTCTACATACTGGTGTTTAAAATGAACCACAATTGGTTGTAAACACTGTGAAATGTAAAGTATAAATTAAAGTCACGTCGGCTTCAACCATAGGAAAAATATTTAAAATGGATCTCTCGTGTTTTGTAAATCACACTACCTAACCAAATTTTTTTTTTTTGTTATCTCAGAGCGAGAGTGAAAGCTAACAATGGGACATGTTTGACACATTACCAAAGAAGCTAGTACTCCTTAGTGTCGTTGGGATCCCTTCTAAAGATTGATCCATATTTACTCATGTATTTACGAACAAAGTCCCTAGTTTTATGCTTAACGCTATCACTACATTCCAGGGCATCTATGCTGTGAAGCTGCTTCAATTCCTTCACCATTACAAAATGAGTGAGCTGCAAGAGAAAGAAAGAAATTAGAATTATATTATATTCCTTCTTATGAAAGCAATAACTTTCGACTGATTAATATAAAGTGCAACTAAAATGGTCAGTCCCTCTACCAATACTACTCTTGGATGAGTTCCTACCTTTCGTGCCAGGTACTTAAAATCTTCTGTACATGTAATTTTGCCCTCTTTGCAGTCTCCGCGCCTGTAGGGGTTTAACACGTTGACGATGAAGGTGGCCATTTTGGATCTGAAGGTATCCTTAATTCTTCTACCATTGTCACTATTATCCGCAATTGCTGTAGCAGCTCGCTCCTTACTCTGAAACAATGGTTGCACTTTTATGAAGCAACTGTCATATGAATGTTCACCATCCTATATTAAAATATCTTTACACATGTCAATATTAGTAATAAATGTACACAAAATGCCGCTCCAATTATCCAAAGGTCATTTTTGGGTATCAGGATTATGATAATTTTCAAAATAATCCAAAGGTCTTTTAAAAATCTGAAATATTTTTGATATTCAGAATGGAAAAATATATATGAGAAAAATATTAAAAAACTAAAAATCTACAGTAATTAGCTTTTCATATACAGTAATTGTGTTACAATTATTAAAAATTAAGTGTTTATGAATTGTACACTAATGTGTGCAATTCATTTTTTGCCTCATTTCCCATTTTCATAAGATGAAAAAGAAATAGTTCAGGAAAAACAGGTGAAGAATAGCAAAAAACATTGTACAGTGTATATTAACAAAATAAAAGTATGGTTCAACCATTCATGTATCATTCAAAGTAGAAAGTAAGTAAGTAATTATCAAAAGAAGGCACCAAACCGGGAAGGCTATGTAGCACCATCAAACACGCAAAATAATCAGAGGGCGCTAAATATCACCAAGGATGCCAATACGAGAACAAAAACGCATAAGGCGAACGATATCAATTCAAAGTAGAAAGCATTATGTACTGTACAAGCACCACCAAACTCCAGCAGTCATCTACAGCCCCACTAAAACCACCAAGGAGTACATTACTTCTAATGAATTGTCACAATATATACAAATATTCACTCCTTTCTTACAAACTTCAACTCAGCTCTGTCCCTTACCACATATCTTGCATAGTACTTATTCATAACTTTCTTGCTCTCCAACTGTTTCACCCCAAATCCCTCTGACATTTTCATTCATTGCTCTATTCTTGTAACAGCAAATATGCTTTTCAGCTTGTCAATTTCTATTCCTCTATTTATCATTTCACATTCAAACCACATCAATGTCTTTTATTCACACACAAAAGTTTGAGTATGAGTTGGGAACAAGATCATTTGTAGAGCTGATTATATGAAGAAAAAAGGCAAATCTTCCTTACACACTTGGTGCCAAAAATGGGTTACACACCCATGCCTGCATGTCTACCAACCCATACACACCCATCCACTAGCCCTTCACACACAGCAACACCCCGGCCCACCCACACATTCACCTGCATATGCGCCTAAACTGCCCACCTCCCTCCTTGACCATCTGCTCATACAATCACTTGACCAATTCGTGAATTTAAATACAAGTGCTAAGAATTTTCATTACTGTACAGCCTGTAATATAATAATAATTTGTAATATGATTCATCATTTAACCACATTTCTTGTTGGCCAGAGGAGATGACAAATACAGATAACATACACTAATGTGACAACACATTAGTGTACATGACTATGACTAGATAATGATATTTTGAAGGTGAAAATTTCACCTTCATTCAAGCACTACAGCAATTTACTAAGTTTCTTAAATAATATTTTACTAAATGCCAGACGATGCTCACAATATTTGTTATACTATTATAAACTATATATGTACAGTATACCGAGGAGAAACTTTTAAAATGCACGCGATATAAATATTGAACTTGAATATTGGCATGCGACAATTCTGGTCATTGACGTATGTTGGGTTCTACGTAGGTATCAATGAATAAACATGTGTTTCAAAGCATAGCTAGCTTTCTTCCAATAACATAATATTCATTTGTTATTTCACTAGGAACTGCAACAGTTTAAAGTGGCCAGATATAGGGAACATTGCCCTAATGGCAAATTTCAACAGCATCTTTCCTCAACATTCTTCTAATGCAAGCCTCTAGGCTGTCTGATAAATAGTTAAGTGAATTGCCATCAGCAAAAATGATTTTTCTAACATCAATACTAAATTACTTATTTGCTTTATGCTACACATTAATGACTAACTATTTCTCCATAAAACATGCACTACTAAACTTCCTCTCTTCCCATGTGGCCTTTGTAACAAAAATAATGTAAACAAACATAATGAAAATAATAATGTTTCTTCCTATACTATACACATCTCACACTCCAGTGGTCCATGATCACACCCCCCAGTGGGCCATGACATGAAAACCTTCAAGGAGTCCTATCTCAGCACATCGTCCTGATACCTTTATAAAATTTACAAATAATATTAAAACTTTTATTTCACTAGCCACCATTCCTTCACCCGCCTTCATGATGTAAATGAGAAAATGCAAAATAATAGAATAATGGTGACAAACTAAGAAATTGCTCGATTCAAGCCATAAAATACTTGAAACTTAATGTAATAATAAACAAAACAAAAGAGAAACAAAACAAACCAAGGATAGGCCAATTTCCCTCCTGAAGATAACCCACCTTTACCTTCTCTCTCTTGATTCTTGCCTCGTGACGTTCACTTCTCTGGAGGCGTTCACTTCGTGCACTTCTCTCTGGAAGCTCAAATCTCTCTGGACGTTCAATTCTCTCTGGACGCTCGGTTCTATCTAGACGTGCACTTCTCTCTGGAAGCTCAAATCTTTCTGGACGCTCCGCTTTCTCTGGAAGCTCGTCTCTATCTGAACGATCTGCTCTCTCTGAACGCTCTATTCTCTCCGGGCGCTCTATTCTATCCGATTGCTCAATTTTATCAGCATTCTCGCTAGTTGCTGGATGTTCCAATCTGTCAATGCTCTCCAGTGGGTCTGAGATCTCCACAAATTCTGAGCAGTCCTTCTGGTTACGCCCTTGCCGTTCCTCTTGTCTCTCTTGACGAGCCTCTTCCCTGGCACGCTCCTTGGCCTCCCGACGTTCTCGTCTGGCTTGTTCACGGTCAATTTCCAGAATTGGCTATACAAGATGGTGGTGAAAGAAAAAAAGAAGATATAGTATTCAGTTGTCAAAATATAAATTTTATGATGAATAGAGAGACTTGACACTCACTGATGTTTATATCTAATTTAAACTTTAATGAATCACATTTTAACTTCTATCACTTGGATAATATATTACATACAAACATTTGATATACCTTTTCCAAATTAAAATTGAAAACCATACTTTATGTCCTTAACCCTTTGGCTACATTAAGCAAAAAGTGGCCAATTCATTTAAACATGCCCTAGTACATAAATGTCCCGAGTCCATGTGACTAGAAAAATACAATCGACCACGGTCATATGAAAATGTAAAAATCTGCAAGATGCTTCCTTCAAATCCACACCCCCCCCGATGTCAATATTTTCCCCGTTACATAAAACTTTGATAAGTACAGTATGCTATTTGTTGCATTTAGAAATATTCTTTACATTTGGAACACACACGACCTGCTATCGAGTTATTTGGAGACATTTGTTCTATTGTATAATGACAATTTCTCCAAAAATGTAAACTTTTTAGTATTTAAATGTTTTTAAGATGGTGTCTTCAAACAGAGTTATTAAAAATTTGATAAGAGAGAAAGCTTAAAAAGAAAATATCCCTAAAAAATTCTCAGATTATGATTATATATAAAATGGAATGTGTGTGCACGTGTCCAAGGTTGGAGGCCAAATGCTTGGGGCTAGTCTCGCCCAACTTTGTACCGAGACTGCCAACGGGTTGGTGACAAACGTGCGTGGGGAAAAGGGTTGGCCCCATTCCTCTCATTAAACTGGGAGTCAACTCCCATGTCAACCCCTACAAAATCAATTGGCAGAGTCCCTAGAATTTTATAAATTTTATCCAACTTGGAAAATGTATAAATATAAATACATAAATAGGTTAAATATAGCTTTAGGTTATGTATTATGTCTATGATAACAAAAAACAATTAAAATATATAATTAAAATTATTTAATCACACAGGTGGAAAGAGCATAAGTTTTTCTTACTTAATAAAAGATTTGAATTAAAAAAATTCTTTTATGCCTGCTTTTTGACCCTCTGAGAACAAAGCCAAAAAATTGGTGCCACAGCCAAAGGGTTAACATTATAAGCATCTAGTTTCCTCCAACACATTATTGAGCAGAGGATAAGCACATCAAGGTGGCATGTAATAATACATGGCCAAAGATGATCAACAGGTGGCAAAAACAGATGACCCTTATATTACACAGGACACGACACCTACAGTGAATTACAAGTCAAGTTTCTAGTGTAATCAAGCCATCACTTTTTAGGGTAAAGCTATACATATTACACCCCCTACCCCCTCAGAACCCTTCCCAAGGCATTACACAATTCCAAGACATGGCTTAAATGTATGAATATAATGTATTAATTGGCAAAGTCTGTATTTTATGTTTGGCAATCTATAATTGTTACCGACATACTACACATTTTTATTATTACTGTACTTTTCTAAGCAGAAAAAGAAATATGTCCACACATTTTCTCTGAACATAAACACAGGAGCAGGTTTCATCTTCAGTGAATAAAGTATATTTTTGCTTAACCATAACATGAATAATAAAAAGCAAACAATAAACAAATAAATAAAGCAGACAAGCTAAGATAAAATAAGAAAAACAGCATTTGCTGATACTTCATGCAGACGGCATATTCCTCTGATGTTCATGACACTTGACTTCCATGCTTGTCACATACATGTACTGCACACTGGCAAACACTAAGGGGTGTTCAACCATGGGCTAATAGGGACTGTATTTATGATGTGGGACAATACTAGAGTAGGTTAGAAATGACACTAAAAGCCCTGCAGGAGCACCCATGGTTGTGTCACAGTGGTGAGTCTCCTCAGCAGGGAACAATGAGATCACTTACGCTTATAACACGTTCCTGCACCAGTGCATCTGACCGACGCCTCTTGCCTCGCACGCGTCTGATCATCTTCTCATCTGACACCCCACTTCTCTCCACCGTCACCACTACCTCCTCCTCCTCCTCATCACTTGAGAAGTCTTCGCTCTGAGCAGGTGACACAGGAGCCTCATTACACAAAAGAACTAGCCAAGGAAACTCTTCCACAATATGACATTCATGCAAATCAGCATAACAATTAATAAAAAACAGTAAACAATTTTTCTACATAAGCACTGAAATTAAAATATATAAATGACTTGCTATTCCAAACTCTAGCTAATGTGCGACTTACATCACTGGTACTTGTCGAGTCCGAATCATCAGAGGACGAAGAATCAGAGTCTGAGTCTGACCCAAGTTCTGCCTCCAACTGCTGGTGCTGTTCAAGGGTAGGTGGCTCCCACTGGCTAGTCCTTGTCTTTATGTGGTAGAAATACACGTGTCCCTCCGAGTCTCGAGCTATCTTCCAACGCGGTGGTAACTGGATAGTGATGGGTCCTGGTGGTGGAGGGGGAGGAGTGCCTTCTTCCCTCTCAATTCCTGACAAAGGCGTTGTGCTTGGGTCCAAGGCCATACTTGAGGGAGCTTCTCCAGGAAGAGGGATGGAAAGAACCTTGGCGCCTTGTGGAGGTGTGCCTTCACATGGTACAGCTTGTCCAGGCAGGGGTTGGGATGGTGATGCTTGGGACAAACAAGAAATTTCACCAGGCAATGGAATGTTTGCAGGATTGAGTGGATCATCTGGTCCGCCATGGCCTGGGGTAGCAGGTTCACCATCTGGAGCAAGATGGCCAGGTAGGGGCTGAGACTGTCCTGACATCATCAATAATGGTGACCCACCATCACTATCACCCTTATGCTGACCATATGCTGCTGGCACAGGGATGTTGGGATCTGGAAGTCAAAGAATAAACACTTATTATCTCTAACTGTATATCTAATTATTGCATTGTTCTCCTCTGACTTTCAATGTTACTGAATGTTATAAAAACCTATCTCATTATCCTTAAACCAAAGTGATCCTAGCTCTAAAAAAAATACAAATAAAACAAACAAAAAATATTACATTAAATATTTTAGGTTTGTAGTGAGAAACCAAGTTGCCACAATGTTCTGACAAACTTACATGTGAAATTCTTGAAGTGACTTACCAGAGCCATTGTAGGGCTGCCATGTTGCAGCAACGGGGTCCCAATAGTATTGGTATGTTGGGTCAAAAATAGGTGTCAAGTAAGGGTCATGACCCAGGAGACGACATCGGTCTACATGCATCGCCCACATCTCTTCCTGCATCTTTCGCTGTTTAGCTTCCTCCTCCTCTTGTTGAACCTATTCAACAGTCAGTACATATTTTACTCAAATAATTATACATAAGGAATTATTTTACTTTTTAATCTATTAATATGTAATAAAAAAAACCAATAAGAAAGAAACAGTTGGATAAGTTTTATTCCAGCTGCTGGAACAGACATGCGTCGGGAGCACTCCTGGAGGTGCTGAACCAGTGTGTTAACCGCTATAGTGAACCAGTACTCTTACTTATCAAGGAAATTTAGAGAACTTCTGCTATGTCTACTATCTGAGAGTGAGGATGACATACAACACAACTAAGCCATTTCAGGTAGTAATGACCAGGAAAAAGCGGAAGACTATGAACATATGGATAAGAAGTGAAAGCGAGAGTAGTTGGGACGAGAAACTAACAAAAAATTTCAATGATCGATGGCAGACAAGACCAAATCTTTAATTTTAATTTCTTCAAAGAAAAATATCTAGGGGTGTGTTGGGGTAGTAGAGTGTCACCAGAGGAGCACATAAAGGACATTATGCGAGGAGCATGTACTTCGCTTTCCAACTTCAGAATCGCTTTTAATTACATGGAAGGTGAAATACTAAAGAAACTGTTCATTTTTTTGAGACCAAAATTGGAATATGCAGCAGTTGTATGGTGCCCATATCTCCAGACGTACATCGGCAAACTGGAAAAGGTGCAAAGACATGATACAAAATGGCTTCCAGAACTGAAAAACAAGCAGTATGAAGAGAGAATAGATATGCCAAAGCTAGAAGATAGAAGAAAAAGGTGATATAATCATCACTTACAAAATAATAACAAATTGACAAAGAGGAACTCCTGAAACTGGTAACCTCAAGAATAAAAAGTCATACGTTCAAGCTACGGTAACAAAGGTGCCAAAAATATATTAAAAAGTTTTCTTTTGCAAACAGCGGTAGACAGTTGGAACATGTAAAGTGAGAAAGTGATGGACGCCATAACTGTCAGAAGGTTCAAAGCGTTATATGACAGAGTGCTGGGAAGACAGGATACCACAAGCGTAGCTCTCATCCTGTAACTACTTAAAAAAATCACATCCCGTCATTAAAATGAGTTTCATCCAATTTAATTTAATTAACAAACTGAATATAAAAGATAAAATACAGAGAATAGAGGCTCTATTAAAATTGTGGCTATTTATGTAACTAGTCAACTATTGTACCAGATTTTGTATATTTTCTAAATAAATATTATTGTTAAGTAAACATAAAATTACAGTGTAAAGTATTTACAGTGTATTCCAATTATTAACTATCTGTACAAAGTGTAGGTTGTACCTGGATGGAATTCTGGGAAATCTTCTTCCCCCTAAGCCTGGCCCGGGGCCAGGCTCGACTTGTTAGAGCTTAGCCCAACTGTCTGTTGCTTGGAGGGGCCTGCTGGCCTACATATCCACCACAGCCAAGTTGGTCCGGCACTTCCTGAAGAAAACTATCCAGTTTCCTCTTGAAAAAGTCCACATTTGTTCCAGTAATATTTCTTCCTCTTGCTGGGAGTACTTACATATCTTCGACTTTCCTCCATTTCCAAATTAGACCTATGCCCTTGTCTTATTTTATTTTAATTTAAAAAGCTGTGCTTGTCCACTGTATACTTCTGTAGTTGTCTACAAAAATCAAGGAGGTCACACACACAGATCAGGAACAACTCTGGATATAGCACTGATGATTGGGGACACCATTTTTTAAATTTATTAAGGGTTATTAGGGTTGAGCACTTCTCATGAAACTAGGCAGTGGTTGCATCTGCCAATGCCAGCCTTGTTTTTAAGAAGGTCTCTTAGCTGCAGGAATTATTTTTGTCCTTCCTAGATAGCCCACTATGTGCTCACCCATTCCCTTTCTAATTATTTTCTCTAGTACTATGCAGGGAATGCACACGAGCATCATACTATGAAGGGAATGCATGCTAGTCTTCCCCTACACATATGGGGCATAAGTGGCCAACCTTTCGCAGTGTTCAAAAGTGAACTCGCCAAGTACCTACAGAGGATACCTGATCAACCAGGTTGTGACTCGTATATCAGACTCCAAACAGCTGCATCAAACAACCTGGCTGATCAGACCAGCAACCAGGAGGCCTAGTCAGAGACTGGGCCATGGGGACATTAATCCATGGAATCAACAACAGATAGTGGCACTTGTCAATAGAGTTCAGTGCTTCCCAGCTGTCTTCTTGAAAATAGGGACTTCGTCTTCTTGAAGATTTATAGTAGATCTCCAGTCTCTTGTGTTTTAATGTGGATACTGTACTAGTTAACAGATTTTAAAGTAACCCCTGTAGCCTTCTTTCACATTCATGGTGAATCTTGTCGGGCAAGACAAGAATCTCTACTACCTTCTGTTACATTTAATTCAGTTGGGTGTCTGTTTAGTTTTTTCTCAGTAGCTTTCATCTTGCACTCAGGTCTGGCTGTTTTATACACCTGCAACCTTATTAAATTCTTCAGACTTCATAATTACTGAGAACATTTACCTTTCTTCTTCAACTCATCACATGATTATTTTTAGTCATGCAAGTAAGCAACAACTTTGGCTAGTTTATCTTTTTTTGACACACTCGCAAACTATTGTTTATTCCTGTTAATTAGTGAAAGATAACTGTTACTGAATACAGTCTACATCAAAAATAGAAATGATCACATACTTTTTTTTCCTAGACACTAATAATTAAAGACAAAAGAGAGAGACTAAAATTTTGGAAAACCAGCCTACTTCTCTCTTCTTCTTCTCTCACCACAAAACGAGACGGTAATTTAACCGTTTCTCGAGGAATTTGTAACAAGTATTTTCAAGACGGGAGCCATCACATGACTGATTTCTTCCTAAACCTCAAATATCCAGTATCATTCCCAGAACTTTATTACAAAATGCCAAAACAACAATGATCATTTTCACTCTTCAGCAGATATCTTGAAAAATAACTTGGCCAATGGAGAAATATTTTGCATAATTTAGAAAATGTTACACAAGATACAGGTAGTAAAAAAAATATTTTTATACAAATATAATCTTTTTTAACTAAACATGTCATCTAAACCTGATGACATATTTGGCAGAGGTTTAAAAGAATGTAAAAAGCAACTCGGTAGTCCTCTATTAATTTAAATTAAGTACATTTAGTATATCAATTATGACTACAGGTTTTCCATATTGCTTGGAGAATCACTAATATAGCACCAATCTTTAAGTGGAATACATGGGAATTCAATGATAAATCATCAACAAATATTACTTACTATGTTGACCAGACCACACACTAAAAGTTGAAGGGACGACGACGTTTCGGTCCGTCCTGGACCACTCTTAAGTCAATTGTGAAGAGGAGGTAGAGACAGGCAATAAATAGGCAAGAGAGAGGTGAGGAGGAAAGTAAGGTGTAGGGGATAGTAGTAATAATGAGAACTGCAGCGGGCCTATTGGCCCATACGAGGCAGCTCCTAATAAAACCATACAAGGAGTTGCCTCGTATGGGCCAGTAGGCCCTCTGCAGTTCTCATTATTACTACTATCCCCTACACCTTACTTTCCTCCTCAGCTCTCGCTTGCCTATTTATTGCTTGTCTCTACCTCGTCTTCACAATCGACTTGAGAATGGTCCAGGACGGACCGAAACGTCGTCGTCCCTTCAACTTCTAGTGTGTGGTCTGGTCAACATACTTCAGCCACGTTATTGTGACTCACCACCTGCATATTACTTACTATCTTACTATTCAAACATATCAATTCAAGAACACATAAATAACATGAGAATTACTGTAGTAGTACATGTTGTTTACAGACCAAATACTGTACTGAATTGATAATCTATATCTGGCAGTGACCAAGTAAAGAATGCAAAGAGGAGCTTTGTGACCCACTGTCAACCATATTTAATAAATCAATAGAGTCAGGCAGAGTGCCAGAGTTTTGGAAAGTTGCTAATGTGATACCAGTTTTTAAGAAAGGAGATAGATCACTTGCATCTAACTATCGACCAATTAGCCTAACGTCTATTGTGGGAAAGTAACTCGAATCTATAATAGCAAATAAAATTCGTCTTCATCTTGAAAAACATAAATTAACAATTGAGTCGCAACATGGTTTTATAAATGGCCGTTCATGTTTAACAAATTTGTTATCTTTTTATTCTAGCATAGTTGAGGCAGTTGATAGTGGTAAGAACATAAGAACAAGGTAACTGCAGAAGGCTTATTGGCCCATACGAGGCTGCTCCTATCTATAACCACCCAATCCCAATCATAAACATGTCCAACCCACACTTGAAACAATTGAGGGACCCCACCACCACCACGTTACGCAGCAATTGGTTCCACAAATCAACAACCCTGTTACTGAACCAGTATTTACCCAAGTCTTTCCTAAATCTAAAGTTATCCAATTTATACCCATTGTTTCGTGTTCTGTCTTGTGTTGATGCTTTTAATACCCTATTAATATAAGAACATAAGAACAAGGTAACTGCAGAAGGCCTATTGGCCCATACGAGGCAGCTCCTATCTATAACCACCCAATCCCACTCATATACTTGTCCAACCCGCGCTTGAAACAATTGAGGGACCCCACCTCCACCACGTTACGCAGCAATTGGTTCCACAAATCAACAACCCTGTTACTGAACCAGTATTTACCCAAGTCTTTCCTAAATCTAAACTTATCCAATTTATACCCATTGTTTCGTGTTCTGTCTTGTGTTGATATTTTTAATACCCTATTAATATCCCCCCTGTTATGTCCATTCATCCACTTGTAAACCTCTATCATGTCACCCCTAACTCTTCGCCTTTCCAGTGAATGCAACTTAAGCTTTGTTAATCTTTCTTCATATGAAAGATTTCTAATTCGGGGAATTAACTTAGTCATCCTACGTTGGACACGTTCAAGTGAATTTATATCCATTCTATAATACGGCGACCAAAACAGAACTGCACAATCTAAATGGGGCCTAATGGCCTAAAAGGATTGTGATGTTAACATAAGAACATAAGAACAAA